CATTACTACCTTAGTGCATAAGATGCACTAATAAACTTCCTTAACTCAATCTCAACTTATATAACTTCTTGACTCAACTCCAATAATAAATGGGTGAGAAATAAAATCATGTATCATACTCAATAATTCTAACTTTAGCTCTTTTAAACATAAATAAGCAAAGCTTATTAAATTCATGCTTCCTTGATACTTGAAAATAAAGCATACTTCCATGATTCATACATATTCAACTTGTATCATGCCTCAAATAACATGTTCACATGCTTGCATAATAATTCATGATCAACCAATATCAAATCCAAGCATATAATCAACTAAATATGCTACTAATTCATCACTTGAAACATACTTTACAATCCTAGCATGATACTACGCATACACAAATATTCTTATGCGCATGTGTACCTTAAATAGTGCCTAAACTCGGCCACACTCGCTAGAAATAACTTACCTCAAAGCTTCCTACAAATGGAAATACATAACTATAATTAATCCACTATTCTCACAAATTTTCAGCAAATATAATATACTTTAAACCTCACTAATTAACCCAATTTAATGGTTTAAAAGCCTTAAAATCTTTTCTTTTAGTGGGTACTTAAAATCCTTTCAAAAAGACTTAGTTTTCAAGACTTAAATAAAATTCTATCATACTTAATTGATATAAAACATCATTAATAGACTAGGATGTCATATTTAAATCACCAATAGGAAAAAGGAGAGAGAAAATAAGAGGAAATTTTGGGGTTTTGTAAAATCTGACTATGATTTTTGAGTGTGAAAATATTGAGGTTTTGGGGTATTTATATCCCCCTTTTAAAATGAAAACCCTAATTTATAAAACTGCCATTACTAATCCTACTCCCCCTTGAATTCTTCTTTGAGGTCCACTTGTTGGGCTCTTAAGTCTTCTTTGATTCCTAACAAGTTGATCCAACAATTTAATTGACGTTGACCCAAATTAAAGCACTTTATTGCCCCAATTAATAACTCATATTATTTTATACACACTTATTTTATATTAAAATAATTAATTCTTTTAAAATGAAATGAATCATTTTAATTTATAAATAAAATAAATAATTTATATATATAAAAAAATATTATAAAAATACTGAGTATTGCACTCTACCCCCCTTAAAAGAAATTTTTTCCTCGAAACTTGAGCACGAAAATAATAAAACTTTGTTCAAAACTTGTTTAAAATTTCACTTTTTCACCCACTTAATAAAAAATTTTCTTAATACTTATAGTTGTTGTACATTTTGTAACCTTTTCTATTCTCTTTCTTTCTAAAATTTGTACAAAATTGTGCAAAATATACTAAAAATGCTTGAAATAAAGGTATAAAGCTCGAAATTCTACGCATTCTACCCCCCTTAAAGAAAACGAGTTACGACCCCGTAACTTAACTAACCTCAAACAATTCTGGGTACTTCTTTCTCATTTCATCCTCAGCTTCCCATGTCGCTTCCTCAGTTTCTTGATTCGACCACAAAACCTTTACTATCTTTACATCCTTCTGATAGGCTAAAGTCATATCACCTAATCAAAAGTAATTCCTAAAACCACTAACTAAAATAGATAGGGAAGTAGGGTCGAATCCACAGGGAAACAATATTCTGTTATTCCTAATAAATTATTATAATCCAAATTATCAAGAAACGAGTAAGAATTGTGAGAATTATACTACGATAATAATTAAACTAAGGGAAATAATCTATAATAAAAGTCCTAGGGTCATAGGTTCACCAATAATTAATACTTCGGGATAAAACATAACAATCAATTATCAATGCATAAATTCACCAGATTATAAAGGGCTTTCGCTATGTATTATAATCACAGAATTAATATATCGATATTGATATTAAATTGCATCTCTTGAATCTTGACTTAACCATTTATAAATTAACCTGCCTATTGAAACTAAGCCTAAACATCAATTCTCATCTGTCGAATCTCGAATCAATATTGCATAACTCATACAATTAAACCTGCGCAAATCTAATTGCATAGCATTATAACAATCAATAGGAAATTAACCCAAAACATAAACAATCAACAATAATAAATCATCCCTTTATATTAATCATGGATCCCCAAGAACCCTAGAAATAAATTACTCACGCATAATTAAATCTAAACTAATCAAAGCAATTAAAATAAGCATAAATATAGCAAGAATAAAATAAAGTAGTATTGAAATTAAATAACAAAATTTAAGTAAAGCAACAATAAATAAAAAAAAGTAAAACTACACTGTAATAATGAAATCTCTTGGAAAACGGAAGCAACACAAAACAAAAGAAACAAAGTCAACTATCAATAATATTCTAAGCTACTGAATTAAAGCAAAACAAGTTTTACGAAAAAGAAAACAAAACTAAAACTAAAAAAACGAAGAAAATAAAATATAATCTAACCTCCCCACCTACGTAACTACTACTCCTTTATATAGGAAAAGTAACCCAAAGATCCCTCTAACCGACAAAGCAAATCAACAGCCAAATTCACTCTCACCTGATCGAGCCAGGCCTCGCCCGATCGGGCCCGGACTCCATAGCAGGCCACTAGTATTGGGCTCCTTTCTTGGGCTTTATTGTTTACTCTTGGATCTTTAATACAATTTTGGTGTCTTGTCTTCAAAGATCATGATCTATTGGTACTCCCTGATTTATTCACTTAATCGAGCCTTTAATCACCAAACTAAATTTCTTTAACTTAGTCTTGGGCCTTACATATACGATCATAAAATACGATCTGACTCCGATATCTTTGTAGTGGCTCAATAAGCTTGGGAATCGTCATAAATCTGCAGATTCCTACAAAATAATACCAACTCTATAAAAACACTAGAAAACGTATATTAGTAATAAAAATAGTTCCGCAGAGCTCAAATAAGCACAAATATGACCGTGGGACGGGGAATAAAAATATATATTAAATAGACTCATCACCTTCTTGCGTGTACTACAAACTTTACTATAAAGAATCTTTACAAGTCTTTCTTCATAGGTTAGGTTTTGGTCTAATCCTATGGTTTCAGGTTGTAGAACATGCGACTTGTCTGGGATGTATCTTCACAACTAAGAAACATGATATACATCATGTACCTTACTAAGGTCCATAGGCAATGCCAATCTATAAGCAACTTTACCTATCCTTTACAAAATCTCATATGGTCCAATGTACTTTGGTCTCAATTTCCCTTTTTTTCCAAATCTCATGACTCTTTCATTGGTGATACCTTAAGTAATACTTTGTCACCAACTTCAAATTCCACTTCCCTACACTTCAAATCTGCGCAACTCTTTTGCCTATCTTGAGCAGCTTGAATCTTAGCTTGGATTTCTCTTACTTGCTTCGTGGTTTCTTCAATTAATTGAGGACCTAGAATTATTGTCTCACTTATGTCACTCCAACATAGTGGACTTCTATACTTCTTTCCATGCAAGGCTTCAAATGGTTCACATTCCCAACTTGGATATCCTTGATCTCATCAAATATCGTTGGTTGGATACTCAAATTATTAAGCATTCCTTCCAATGTTCCATGTAGTACTACCTCAAGGTTCAACTTACTCATTTCTCTACAAAGCTCATCTGCCACTACCAAAGCGTTTACTCCATGAGTTGCTTTACGACTCAAAGCATCCGTGACTATATTCGCTTTACCCTTGTGGTATTGGATGTCTAAATCATAGTCATTGAAGAACTCTAACCACCTATGTTGGCTCATGTTCAATCTTAATTGCGTGAAAAGGTACTTCAAACTCTTATGATCACTATATATCCTACATTTCACTCCATACAAATAATGCCTCCATATTTTCAACGCGAACAATATCGTTGCAAGTTCTAGATCATGAGTAGGGTAGTTAACTTCATGTTTCTTCAACTGTCTTGATGCATAATCAATCACCTTTCTGTATTGCATCAAAACACATCCAAGTCTATTCTTAGATGTATCACTATACACATCATAAGAACCACTCCCATCAGGTAAGGTTAACACAGATGCCATTGTGAAACTCTTCTTCAAAGTTTGAAACACTTCCTCACACTTATCACTCCGTATGAACTTAGATTCCATCTTCATCAACAATGTCATAGGTCTAGCTATCTTTGAAAAGTCCTACACAAATCGCCTGTAATATCCATTTAGGCCTAAGAAACTTCGAATATTCGACACATTCATAGATATAGGCCACTCCTTCACAACTTCTATCTTTGCAAGGTCTACTTCTACTCCTTCCTTAGATATGAAATGTCCTAAAAATGCTATCTTCTCCAACCAAAACTCACACTTCGAGAATTTGGCATACAACTGGTTAGTCCTTAAAGTAGATAACAATGATCTCAAATGCTCTGCATGGTCCTCTCTATTCTTTGAGTAAACTAAAATGTAATCAATAAACACTACAACAAATTGTTCTAGGAGAGGTTGAAACACTCTATTCATCAAGTCCATGAAGATTGCAGGTGCATTTGTTAACCCAAAAGGCATTACTGTAAACTCATAGTGTTCATACCTCGTCCTAAATGTCGTTTTCAGAATGTCCTCTTTCGCAATTCGTAGTTGATGCTATCCACACCTCAAATCAATCTTAGAAAATACTACTGAACCTTTCAACTAGTCGAACAAGTCATCTATCCTAGGCAAAGGTTATTTGTTCTTGATGGTTACCTTGTTTAACTCCCTATAATCGATGCATAGCCTCATGTTACCATCTTTCTTTTTCACAAACAATACATGAGCTCCCTATGGTGATGCACTTGGTCTTATGTACCCCTTCTCCAATAAATCCTATAATTTTCCCTTTAACTCACTCATCTCTGCAGGTGCCATCCTGTATAGTGCCTTAAAGATAGGTGTTGTTCTAGGTACTAAGTCTATAGTGAAATCTATGGTTCCTTTTGGTGGCATACCTGGAATCTTCTGGAAACACATCTAAAAATTCATTCACTACTTCAATATCCTCAGGCTTAGATGGTTCCTCATACTCCAACTTCATTAAAGAAATAATCTAAGTTTGCCTGGGTTTTCTGTGCCTCCAATGGGTTACGAGCTCTCCATGAGCCGTTTTCAAGTGGATTTTCTTTAACTGACCATCGGATCTCAGCATTATACCGACATAACCAATCCATCCCTAGAATTATATCGAGGTCTCCTAATTCAAATTCGATTAAGTTGGACCTAAATTCTTTCCTCTTAATCTTTATAGGAATGTCCTTATAAATCCTAGCACAATGAACTACACCCCCAGTTAGAAGTTCTATAGGAATATCTATATCATCTATAGTTTTTGGACAATGCAGCAATTTTGGAAGTATATTTTTAGAAATGAATGAATATGTTGCACCAGAATCAAATAAAACTTTAACAAGAATTGAGTTTATAGAAAATGCACCGGTAATGACATCTCTCACTGCGTTAGCCTCACGCAATCCCATCACATTGAGCTTCCCTGGTGTTCCACCCTTGACTTGTGTGTTCCCACCATTGGTATTCTTATTCCCACTCTAAAACTGCGCCCCCTTGTTCACTTGATTCATAGTACTACCTAGACCTCCTTTATGCTGGTTTCAGTTATGTCCATTATGCTTAAACTGATTGTTTCCTTGACCCCCCTATTCTTAGAGAAACACTCGTACGCCCTGTGTCCTTGCTTGTTGCACAAGTTACAAGTGACTAAGTTACCCTCACAGTCTCTTCCTGGGTGATTGTTAGAACATCTCTTGCAATAGTATATCCTTTGATTATGATCTTCAAGCTGATTCCTATTTCCCCTAGGAAAGTTTCGCCCACCTTGGTTGTTTCTATTGTTCTGGAAGTTATTACCTTGGTGGTGATTAAACTTTTGCTACTTAAAGTTATTCTGGTTCCCAGATGGTCCAGAACTGGTCACAGGCTCCTTTCTTTTCTCCTTAGCTTCCAACTCATCCTTTTCAGCTTTCTCCTTTAACTCCAACGCATGCAAATACGCTGCCCTACCATACAACTCATCCAAGCTATCAAACACTTGCCCTAACAACTTGCCTTTAAGAGAAAGAGGCAATCTCCTCTCAAACCTTCTAGCTTTCTACCTATCAGTAGCCACAGTATCTTCAGCAAACCTAGACAACTCGATGAACTTAGTGTAATACTCTGTCACCGACATGCTTCCCATCTTAAGTTCCAGAAATTCATCAGCTTTCTGCTTTTGTAAGAACATTGGGTAGAACTTACCCCTCACTTGCTCCTTGAACACATTCCATCCAAAGTTAGGTAAAGCTGTCACAGTTTGCTCATTCTACTACCACCACAAATCTACTTCACTCCTCAGGTAGTAGGTTGCACTACTCACTTTGGACTCATTAGGATAGGCACTGCCACAAACAACTTATTAAACTCTCTCAACCAGTTCTCAAGAATAGTTGGGTCAGATTCTCCCTGGTATGTAGGAGGTTTGCTTTGGGATATCTTCTTAAACAACTCCCCAACAGGATCAGGATTGTTATTGTTATTCCTTTCAGCTAACTGTTGAGCCACAATAGCTGGTTACCTTACTACTTCATTTAGATCATTGTTATTATTGTTTCTCCCTGCCATTCTAGTCCTCCTGAATAAAGAAATGACTAATATTAGGTTGGTCACAACTCTCTTGTAACTAGACAACAACCAAGCTACTTTAAATCAAGCATACAAGCAGTCATTTTTAATTATAGTAGAAGCACCTACTCATTTCTCCTACTAATAATTCAACACATTGTTTTGGGTGTCATGCAACCATTTCACTTAAGTAAGCAAATCACAATAACATTTTTAAGTCATTTCCCTTGGTACAAGTAACAGAAATAAAAAGTAAAATATGATACTTGGTAGGCTTAGTTGAAGATTGAAATGAATAAGAAAATAATAAATGATACTTTATTGCAATAATGAAAAGAAATGTTTGGAATATCCCAAATGTAGCTTTGTGACTTATTACTCATACGCAATACTTTATTAAACTTAACTATAAATAAAGAATGAAATAAATGCTCAAAACTCTAAGGAAAAGTTAGTCTAAAATCTTCAAACATTAACATTGTCAATCTTGTCTTTCATCTCCTTGTACTTCCTTAGATTATACTTAGGATCACTCCCATCATCACAATCATTACCATCATCATCATCTTCCTCAGGATCCATTTCTTCATCAGGTTCTTCTTCAGATTCATCAAATTCCACATTAATAATTACTAGAGGGCTTGGAGGATTTGGATTAGGAACTACCCTGCATGAGGTGTCTCCTGACTCATTATTTTGCTCCATTGGCTCCCCTTGGCTCTCATAAGTTTGCTCAAGTTTTGACTTAAACATAGAATCATAGTTTTTTGAAGAATAATAAGGTGCATTTTGTTGTGGAGCTTCTGAAGCATTTTGTTGAGGAACTTGGTGATAGCCAAAATTATGGTAAGGTGGAGGATAATCAGCATATTGAGGGTTAAGATAGATAAATTCTTTATTAGCAATGTAACGGTATAAGTATCTCCAATCTGCTCCTCACTGACCATTAGAGTCATTATATTTAGTATAATTAGCAACACCATTAGGCAAATGAAAATCATGAAAGCGACTCTTAATAGCTTCATAGGGAGGATAGTTAGGTAAGCAATGAACAATCATGGCAGAGACATAGTCAGTTTGGTCAAAATGAAGCTCTTCAAACACATCAAATCTATAAGAACAATAAAAACGTATCCTGCGAATATAAACCCAAACATGCTCCTAGTCTTTATTGGCTAGAGTGCCCATATCTGTGAATCTACTAGGTAAATCAAACATCTTGCATGGTATTTTGGGTCATAACTCAATAAAGAAACTCTTTTTCAAACTCAAGTATACAACACCTTGCAAAAATTTAAGTTTAGTGCTCAATCATACAATTTTGTATTAATTCACATAAACATGCTTTCACTTAAAGACTTATCATCATACAACATGCTTAAACACCTTGCATAAATAAAATATGCACATAGGAAGACATACCAATTCTAGCCTATATGCCCTTTCTTTCCTACCCAATCTCACCACATGCTTTCAAAGCAATTAACACATAATTACATACCTTAATTCCTTCGCATAACTGCACACATAATATTTAAAATCAAACTCTATTTTCGAAATAATTTTAAAAAATTTGGACCCCTTAAAATAAAAAATAAAAAATAATTCAGCCCTTATTATTAAAAAAAATTTCAGACCAATTTACAGTAAAAAAAAAATATTTCGGTCCTAAAAAAAAAAATTTGGACCCCCTTAAAATATTTTTAAAATAATTAAAATAAGCACTTGGCCTAGCTTTTAAAATATAGGTACCTAAAAAAAACGTTTTTGGCTTTAGTGGTAATTAAAATCCAACCAAAGCTCCCAGATACCACTTTGTAATACTCTGACAATTTCCCCCTTTTTAAATTACTCTTTTACTCTAAATGAAACTCACTTTAGGAAATAACCAAAATATTACTGCCACCGTGATAATGGCTAAGGCTATTTTCAAAGTCACACAACGGAAGTCTAAAACTAAAATCCAACTTTTCAAAATAAAACTTGAGTTCACTACCTCAAAACATAAGTAAAATAAAACATCCACAAGTTGGAACCAATTTAATTATGCTCTTCAAAAACCATCTCCAAATAAAGCATAACAATGTTAGACCATAAATAATAATCAACAATTTAATAAATAAAACTAAGATAGCATAACAAGTAACTCTCTACACTCATTCCCTTCATGCTTCAAGTACCTCTCACTTTCTCTTTATTTAAACCCCTCTACTCACCATATAAATGGGTCATAGTAGGGCCAATCCAAAGGAAAGCCAAACACAAACACAAAGTACGAATTAGTAAAAGCTGAGTACATATGCACCACACTAACATGAATATCCTAACATTAATAAAATAATTAAAACATGCTCGTCATACAATTCACAAGCCAACTTACCTTTCACTCATAACTAACAATATTAATTATTAAATAATAGTTTTGGATCACGCATCAAACGGGTTTCCTTCCTTAAAAATAGCCCATTTAAATATTGAGCTTCCAATTAGGGAGCTACCCCAATTGGTACCTACTATGTCACCTTGTGACGGAATTCCAGCGCGTTAATAATAAAATAAAGTATAACGTCTTGTACCTCTGTAGAAGCTATAATCAAATATAAAGTCACATAACCCCCCCATGTGTTCATATTCAAGGTGTACACGTTCCAAGAGTTTTGGTGCGTATCCTCTTACACTTTACGTGATTTACCAATTTAACTTGTGATGACTCTTACCAATCAATCAAGACAAACATAATAACAATCGACACATACTTCCATTTCATTCTTAAATTAATTAGTGAACACATACCATTTATTTTAATTAAGGTTCCTTGCCTAGTTTTGTGCACAAAATTACACAATTACTACCTTAATGCATAAGACGCACTAATAATAAGCTTCCTTGACTCAATCTCAACTTATATAACTTCTTGACTCAACTCCAATAATAAATGGGTGAAAAATAAAATCATGAATCATACCCAATAATTCTAACTTTAGCTCTTTCAAACATACATATGCAAGGCTTATTAAATTCATGCTTCGTTGATACTTGAAAATAAAACATACTTCCACAATTCATACATATTCAACTTGTACCATGCCTCAAATAACATGTTCACATGCTTGCATAATAATTCATGATCAACCAACATCAAATCTAAGCATATAACCAACTAAACATGCTACTAATTTATCACTTGAAACATACTTTACAATTCTAGCATGATACGATGCATACATAAATATTCTTATGCGCATACGTACCTTGAATAGTGCCTAAACTCGGCCACACTCGCTAGAAATCACTAACCTCAAAGCTTCCTACAAATAAAAATACATAACTATAATTAATCCACTATTCTCACAAACTTCCAGCAACTATAACATACCACCACTAGAACAGCCAATCAACGACGGAAAAAATCCGTCGGAACACCGTGAAAATCCGTCGGAAATGCCCTTTTCCGACGGAATTCCGTCGGAATGCGTTGTCGGAATACAATTTGTAGGAATTTCGCTATATTTCGTCGGAAAAGCTTATTCCGACGGAATTTCCGACGAATTTTATTCTGTCGACGCTTTTGTTGACTTTAAGTGGAAATCCGTCGCAAGGTACCGATGGAAATTTCCGTCGGAGTAGGGTATGTTCCGACAGAAATTTCCATCGATGGGGAAGATGTTCCGATGGACAATAGAGGTATATTCTGACGGAAAATTTGGTCGGAAAATTAAATAAAAAAAAACCAGCCCGCCATTAACCCACATCACTAGCCCACAACCCTGCTCACCACCCCAACTAACCCCCACCACCAACCCACACCACCAACCCACCCCTACCCACGCATACCCCCCTATCCACCCCAACATACCCCCAC